CTGGGTGGTGATGTAAATGGTGAAGGGAGTTACATCCATTTTCTTATCAGATTACAACCGAAGTGTAAGTAGGTGCATATGAGCCTCCGTTTGGCATTCTGTGGGAATGTAAAATGGTTGTAACTTGTACTTTGAGAGGACAGAATGAACAGAAGAAGAAAAGCAGCATATAGGAGAGCATAAGATAAGATGCACCCCATAGACGTGGTGATGTAAATGGTGAAGGGAGTTACATCCATTTTCTTATCAGATTACAACCGAAGTGTAAGTAGGTGCATATGAGCCTCCGTTTGGCATTCTGTGGGAATGTAAAATGGTTGTAACTTGTACTTTGAGAGGACAGAATGAACAGAAGAAGAAAAGCAGCATATAGGAGAGCATAAGATAAGATGCACCCCATAGACCTGACCTGAATACCAAACTTTGAATCCAAATCTCAATGGGGTTGTGTTGGTATCTGTGGTTTTGGTTCAAGTACATCTCTGCTCAAAGGGTATGTCTACACTACAGTGTTAATTCAAGTTAACAATTTGAAATAGTTAATTCGAATTAAGCTAATTTGAAATAACGCATCTATACACAAAATCTATTTCGAAATAGCGCATCCACACTGAGTGGACTCTGAACCGAAGTTAAGGCTGGCCGGAACCAGTGCCGGCAGGGCATCAGGTTAGGACTTAGTGTGTGGGGCTGCTGCCTGAGGCTAACTGAGCTCCCTGCTTAAAGGGACCCTACCCTTACCTTGGACAGATAGTTCTCAGGGTTCCCCGCTTGCTTGTCTGCCTTGCTGAGGGACAGCAAAGCAATCCTGTCTTGGAGTGTCCTGACTACCCGCACTCAAGACACCACAGCACTCGGCCACATGGAGCCAGAGCTCCCCCTGGGCATGCCAGTGCGTCTTGTGGGGTCATTGCCATCAGCTCGGCTGCACTTGCTGCAGGATGCCATCCGGGGAGTTCATCGGGGGGCTGTTAGGATCCAGGAGGCCCTGAGGGAGAGCATCCACCCCGAGGAGCCCTCAGAGCCACACCGGTCCTCCCCACTGGGGGCTCATGCCCCATTCCTCCCTCACATCCTTCCACTTACCCAAATAAGAGAAACGGTTTTTCATAAACATGAACTGTCTTTATTTAACAAAACTGGGGAGGGGGAATGAAACTCTGTGGAGACTGGGGAAAGGAGGCGGGAGAGGGGAGGAGAGAGGATGGGAGAGGGGAGGTGGAAAACTGGGAGGAGGGAGCTGGAAGGGGGAAGCAAGGGGAAGCTCAGCACTCAGGGGTGGGGGTCTCGTCGGGCCACATGTCTCCCAGCACAGTGGGTGCGGGGGCCTCGGCATCCCCAGGGGGATGGGGAGGAGGGTGTGGAGGTTGAGGTGCAGGGTGTGGAGATTAAGGAGGAGGGTGAGAAAGTTGAGGAGGGAGAGGTGGGGGGGCAGAAGTGGGAAGAGGAACAGTAGCTGGGGGGGCATCAGGTGCTGGGGTGGCACAGGGCAGCACACTCTACAGCAGGGCCTGCAAGTGTGAGCACATGACACGGTCCTGGGCTAGCTGCTCTCGGCGGAGCTGCAGGTCCTCCTGCACTCAGGCCTGGTTTGTGCGGTGCAGGGCTCACAGGGCCCCCAGATGCTGGTCCTGGTATCCCTGCCACATGCTGCTGGTCCGGAGGAGTCCTCAGGTGCGGGAGCATGTCCCAGGTGGGGTGTGTGCCCTGCATGTGCAGCTGGTGTGGCCGGGGAGAAAGAAGGGGAGTGGTCATTTCTCCCTGGGGACGCAGTGGATGATGCCCAGCGCCCCCTGCGAGGTGGGGGGAGATGTCCCCTGCTTCTGTGTAGAGGGAGCGTGTGAAGGGAGAGCATTCTGCTGGGTCCCGCCCTGGGGTCAGGAGCATGTCAGGTCTCTTCACACATGTGTGTGCCTACTGGGCCACAGCCCCTGGGTGTCACGCAGCTGGATCCACCTACCCAAGGGTGGCATGGCACATGCTCACACGTGCACAGGTGGCTACATGATCTGTGGGAGGCATGACCCACGCGCGTAGTCCCTGGTCTCCCTCCCCGCCTCCCCCCCTGGGTAGGGGACAGTGCTGGCACTTACCTGGCATGGCCTTCCCAGACAACGCTTCCGACTCCGGTGCCAGGACAGCTGGTGGTGGCCCCTCTGCTGTGCCTGGGTCAGGGCCCTCAGCTCCTGGCTCCCTGCCTCCCAGACTGGCGCAGACCGCTCCGCCCCCCAGGATTCGGTTGAGGCAGGGAAGTAGGGGCAGGTGTCAGCCCCTGCTGCGGCACCGCCCTGGTGGCCCTGGTGTACGCCTGCCACAGCTGCTTCACTTTCAGGCGCACCTGCTCCTGGGTGCGCCTGTGCCCTTTCGGGCCATGGCAGTCGCTATGCGGCCATAGACGGCCGCGTTCCTCCTCCTAGTGTGGAGATCATGGAGATTGGGGGCCTGCCCGGTACACCTGCCACAACTCTTTAATTTTGAGGCGCACCTGCTCCTGGGTGTGCCTGTGGCCTTTCCTAGCCATGGTGGCTGCTATGCAGCCATAGATGGCTGCGTTCCTTCACCTGGTGCGGAGATCATGGAAGTTGGGGGCCTCCCCCCAAACCTCAATGAGGTCCATGATCTCCACACTAGTCTACGAGGGCACTCACCCCAGGGGTCGGTTGAGGGCAGGGAAGTAGGGGCAGGTGTCATCCCCTGCTGCGGCGCCGCCCCTGGTGACCCTGGCGTATACCTGCCACAGCTCTTTCACCTTCGGGTGCACCTGCTCCTCGGTGCGCCTGTGGCCTTTCCTGGCCACGGTGGCCACTATGCGGCCCTAGATGGCCATGTTCCTCCACCTAGTGCGGAGATCCAGAGGCCTCATAATTCGAAATAAGTGTCTACACAGCACTTATTTCGAATTAGCTATTTCAAATTTGGTGTTATTCCTCATAGAATAAGGTTTACCAAATTCGAAATAAGTGCTCCACTATTTCAAATTTATTTTCAAATTTATTTTGAAATAGCAGTTTGGCTGTGTAGATGCTATTGAAGTTCATTCGAAATAACGGCTGTTATTTCGAATTAACTTTGTAGTGTAGACGTACCTAAAGACTGTAAATATTGAAACTAGGATTTTCAAGTAGTTCCTTGGCAAAGCAAATTCTCTCACTCCTGATTTCAACTCTCAACTTACTTACCTCTGTGCATATTTGATCACAGAGTCCAAATAATGTTATTGATGCAATACAAAAATAAAATAATTGGTGTGAAAGATTTCCTGTGGTGAGGAATTGTAAAGGCTCTTCTGGTGGTATTATAATAGACCTATTGCTCACACTTAAAATTACCAATCTCGGTAAATATCCTTTTACATTGTTTACCAAAGGGTAAACACTGAACAGTCCAAGTAAAAAGGGAAGTGTTTACTTGCTATATTTTCTGCAAGTGTTTCCTTATATTTTTAGTTAGAAATGAGTGTGAAGTAAAATTCCAGAGCTCTCCAAATGTTGTGTGGGCTGGAACTTGGATCCAAACCCAAATTTTGAATCTACCCTTTTTCTCTAAAATGGGCCAAACTAACCCTTTAGATTTGACTTCCCTTTGATTTTAAGGTCTTTGGGATCCTTATAGAAATGTTGCATCTCTGAAATATCTTTCATTTTAGCATAGCTGAATATTTATCATTTTATTGCTGCTGCTGGGATGATGGAAGAATGGAGTGGAGGGAGGTGGAGATGTGTGACACTGGAGTATGATGAATTTTACAGCGAAAACGCAAACAAAAGGTTTATAAAATTTAAAAGTTATTAGTGCTATTTCTAATATGGCAGCCATGATATCCAGTCAGAACTATATTACACAAATGTATTAATACCCCTATTTTTTCCTAGGTAAATTCAAGGAAAAATAAAAAATTAAACATGTATTTCAATATAGCAAATGGGACGTCATCCAACACCAAGTACTAGAAGTATGCAGCTAATTTATGGACTAAGGTGTGATTTTTTTTTTTTTTTATGCAGGACATCTGTAACTGAATTTTTTATGTATTATTCAACATGATTTATGTGAACTGATAGATATTACAGGAAATGGGCCACATTAATTCCTGGTGTAACTGCATTGATGCTAAATTGATAATGTCACTGAGGATGAATCTAGTCAATTATTTGCTAGAATCAACCCTCTAGAAACATTTTTTGTTTGTTTGATGAATCTGAAATAACTGTGAATCCATTCTGCCAGTCTAGTTGTGTTGTGAAGTAGGAGGTGTAATTTCAGACTCAGAGCTTCCAGGACCAATAGCTTTCCCCTGCTGAGAGTGTGGCATTTAAAAGAAAGGGAATTGTTTTTTGTAAATGTATATGTTCTATTAAAGCATATTTGTAATACTTCATCTATGCCTCCAATGTCAGTGAGATGGAAATTATCTAGGTACCCTTCTGTGGGCAAATCAGATTCTTCGTCTCAGAGGGGGTAGCTATGTTAGTTAGTGATTTTAAAAACAACAAGCAGTTCTGTGGCACCTTAGCCCTGGTCTTCACCAGGGAGTTATTTTGAAATAACTCCCCTTATTTCGAAATAACAAGTGGAGTGTCCACACTTCCAAGCCTGTTATTTCGAAATAATGGGCGGGTTATTTTGAAATAATAACTCCTGCTTTCCACGAGGAATAATGCTAATTCTGAAATAGTTATTTTGAAATAGCGGGAATGTGGATGCTCCACTGCTGCTATTTCAAAATAACTACTCCTCAGAGTAATTCAAATTAATTACTCCCTATTGCTTCCTGGGACTTTAAGTCTAGGTAGTATGTCCCCTTTAAGGGTGCAGCGACACAGGACTTTTACTTCAAAATAGCTTATTTCAAAATTTGGCACTGTCTACACAGTGCCAAATTTCAAAATAAAATGCTATTCCAACAAGTCCCTTAACTCTCATGGAAAGAGGGTTACAGGGATGCCGCAATAGAGCTCCCGTTATTTCAAAATTACGGGCATGTTTAAAGATGTGGAATTGCTATTTCGGGATACTTCCAGAATCTCAAAATAGCCCTGCTGTCTAGACGTAGCCTAATGGAGCCTGCGTTGGACTAATTTCTAGGCTTTCCCATAGCTTGGACGTGCTATTTTAAAATTACTATTTTGGGAGTTATTATTTCAAAATAAGTTATTTTGAAACAATTTCCTAGTGTAGAAATTTGGCCGTTATTCTGAATTAACAATGCAAGTGTCTACACAGCAATTCTGTTATTTTGAAATAAATTTGAAATAACAGATGGCTTATTCTAACTGCTGTAAACCTCATTCCACGAGGAATAATGCTTATTCTGAAATAGCTATTTTGGAATAGCAGTAGTCTGGATGCTGCACTGCTGCTATTTTGAAATAGCTTCTCTCCAGGGCCATTCAGACTAATTACTCCCCAGTGCCTCCTGGGGCTCTAACCTGAGGTAGCACGTTCACATTAGGGAAGCCTGCCTCAGACTAATTTTGAGGCTTCCCTGTAGTGCAGACGTGTTATTTCGAAATAAGTTATTTCCCTACTTTCAAGAGATCTTCCGGAAAAGGCTTTATTTTCCGCAAGATCCCGTCTAGACTGGCGCTTTTCTCTGGCAAAACCCCGAGCCGGAAAAAAGTGGCAGCCATGTTCATGCAAATGCTGCGGGGAATATTTAAATCCCCCGCGGCATTTGCAATTCCGAAGTGTCTCATTAGCATCCCTTTTACGTAAAAGGGTGCCAATGTAGACACAGCCTTAGAGACTAACAAATATATTATATCATGAGCTTAAGTGGGGAAAAACCCACTTCATCAGATGAGTTGGAGATTCTTCTTGACTTACACCTAACCATATTTTGACAAAGCAGACTGGACAAATGGCTGCTTCCTACTAGATGCTTCAGAGGAAGGTGGAAATCCCTCATAAAGCACCTGGCTAATTCTGCAGTGCTGTGTGTGAAGGAAATGCATTTTCTTTCATTCTGGTGTAAGGAAGATGGATTTCTCTCTGGCAACATTTGAAATGTTGTTTTTATGGGAAATCATCAATTTGATGGACGGTATATCAGAAGTTTGCCTGTTTTCATCATGCAACCCAGT